TGCTAACTGGCCCCAAAGCCAAGAGAAACAAAGCTGAAATAGTTCCACAAAGACAGTTCAAAGTGTAGAGAAGGGAGGCAGGGAAAGAGAGTTGGAGATGGAGACAAGGAGGGAGGGAAGAAGGGAGAAACGGAAATGTTGATTGTTTTTAATAAGGACTGGAATGTTCCGCATGTTTTATGTTTCCACTGGAGATCCAGATAACAGCTGGAATTGCCTTACAACGTGAGTGAAAGGAAGGTGTCAGCTCAGGATATGAATGGCACATCTTTGTTAACCTGCAATGTCTGACTTCCCGTCGTGTTTCCTTTGAAGGCATTTGTTATGGGCCAGCTAGGTAAGCAGCGCACAGCCCCGTGAAGAGTATCCGAGGACACCCTCTCACTCTTGAGACCCTGAAGCCAAAGTATGCCATCCTAAACTACCCCCATTCTCATAAGCTTTCAATAAACCACACTGACAAGCACAACCTGGCCTTCAAATACGACACAGGTTTTAGACTACTCATGCCAGTCTTCTTAATTTATTGGACCATTTATCAAATGGGCCACACAGCACAGCAGTGACAAGGTGGGTACTCTCTCAACTCACTTACAGTGGTTTCTTTCCCTCTCTAAATCACATGACGAAAAATTTCAGTCACCATCTGCCACCTCATTTAGTGACAGATAAAATTCAAGGTTTGAAAAGTATTTTTCTTGGTAATGTTCCGCATTTAAGTGGTCCTTTAGGACAACAGTAAGTCCAGTTCTTCACTAAATAACCTTTCAGGTGGAAACTTTAAGCAAATGGTAAGAAGGAGAAGACACAAGAACAGAATAAAATTCAGGTGACAACTCAATAAAGAAAACCACAAAATCAGAACGATGGTCTAGAATGTGGGTGGGGGTAAAGAGGAGGAGAGGAAGAGAGGAGGATGAGCACTTCAGGGGACAATCTCTCCTTCTGTAAGATAGAAATAATAGAAATAAGCAACTGAGTTCAAGTGTGTGTGTGTGTGTGTGTGTGTGTGTGTGTGTGTGTGTGTGTGTGTGTGTATGAGAGAGAGACAGAAGCCGACACAAACAGAGAGACACACAACACAGAGAAACTGAGACTGTAATAGTTGAAGCTAAAAATGTGGCAATTTCCCCCACAACAAACTCTAATTGAAAATAAAATGCTACTTGTTGAAATTAAAAGAAAACTTAACTGTTAGATAATCTTGTTTTATAGAAAGAATGGTGCTGAGTTGATGCTCTCTTTCCGAGTACTATGGAACAGCCCAGTGCATGCTGCACATCTCCTCTAGGCCATGTGGCTCTAGGGTGACAAGCTGTCTGAGAAGGATCACAAACAGCTTCTTTGCACACTGGTAAGCAAACAGGACATTTACCAGGAAGAAGAAGAAGAAAAAAAAAGCACTCCCTATGAATAAAGAGGTAGGACAGCACAGTGGGAAGTTTGGGTCAGACCACCTCACCGCCAACCCTTCCTCCTTCATTGATCACAGGCAGAGGTGACACTGGTGACGCTGCCAACAGGACGCTCTCAGCACAGTGCTCAGCACACCATGCTCATTTAGGGAAAACTTTCTCCTTAGTAAAATTCGTGGAGATGCTATCTGAGCCTGTGCTTTACATTCCTTTTCGAGCAAAGTGAGCAATGGGATGGCTGTTTCAGAAGTGTAACTCATAAGCTAAGCTTACACTCAGCTCATCACTGGTCCATCGGCAGCAGGTATAATCTGTCAGATTGTTAACTACTTAGAGAATGCTGTTCCACAGAAACAGAAGCCTGAGGGGAAACAGGGACATCTCCTTGAGGCAGAATATTCATTTCAGAGGAAATGTTGGTTAGTGGTTAATAACCTAAAAGGAATGTGGATCACCTTTGAACTCTGCAACCTTTCTCTGTGCTAGAACCACATCTGTCACACTGCATGGTTTGTCCCTGAAAGGACAGACTCCTCCTCCTTTCTCAAACATGCCTGAACCTTGCTGCAAGCTTCTACTCACCTCATGCCTTTCCGCCTCACGTCTGTGTGGCCTTTTCTTACCCTGAGGAACAACTCCACCCATCACCAACAGACCCAGTTGAAACCTGACCCGTTTTCCAGGTCCAAGTTAGTTCTCCATTCCTTTCCTCAAGCCCTGAGGTGCACAGACGTGCAGGGCTCCAGCAGTTAATGACGCCGGATCTGCAGACACACTGCTGGAACCACTCTCAACCGGAGACAGGCCATGTGCTGGAGAACACACAAGCCAAGGTGTCTGCTGCATTGGCATCAACGCTTCTCCTCCGGCCAAGTGTATGACAATTTAGAAGGCGGCCATAGGTACAAGTCAGGGTGTGTGTGTGCTGTATCATGAGGTGCTTTGCCAGCAGTATGAAGTAGTTTAAAAATATCAGGTTGGAATTCAAGAAGGAAACTGTGCTAGCATTAGAATTCTGTTCAGACCTTGTATTTAATAACGGGGTATTTTTTTTCTTTAATCAAACGTTATTTATAAAATGTGTTAACATTTCCTGAAATCTCTGTTTTGTTTTTCCCAAGTGTCACCTATTCTTTTTGGCAAGGGATACTAAGAGTATGTAGCTATCCACGGAACTATCTGGAGATGAGGCAGAGGAAACAAGTCTGTATTTGGCACAAAGACATTGACTCACTAAGCAAGACTACCAGTAAACACAATAGTACTTTCAGAAGCATTTTGACATTAATAAAAAAAATGCACTCTACTGCAAGGATCTGGTTCTTAAGATGAGGAGCTATAACACGATAAGACAGTGCTTCATGGGTACAAGGCAGCAGGGTGACACAAAGGCTACCATATCAGAACATGGAGAACGGTCATATGACCAGTCCGCCTCGCACTGGCAGCTCTCCCGGGAGTTTTCGCTAGCGACTCAGGAGATGCTCCGGTTGGAAGCCTCATCGTCAGTGTGTAAGCTAAAGCTGCTCACGAGGCAGCAGAAGGAGAAGCAGCTGGGGTGGCACTGGAGCTGAAGAGACCTGGGCAGGGAAGCCAACCTGGTGATGACGTGAGAGACGGGTGAAACCAGAACAAGAGACCGCGGAACAAGAAAGGACAGAGAAGACAAGACAATCAGACATGAGAGGGAAGAGTGAGAAAGAAGGCGATAAAGTGGAAACCAGAAACTGAAGGAGTGCTGAGAGCAGAGGAAGAAGGGGACGAGGAGGAGGAAGAGAGAAAAAATGGAAGCCATCCTTGGGTATATGAAAGTAACATGTATCAGACAGCTGTGCTCCGACGGCTGTTCAATCACAAACTACCATTGACACACATTGCTTAGAACCAATAATTATGAACGAATAAACAAACAATAGGATTCGAATCAGTAAGTGGAATGCAAGTCACCACCGTGTAGACTCTCTGATGAAATTCAAGTGTCCCCTTCCTTGGGCGCTCAAACTGTTGAAGGACAAAATGGAAGAACGTGAGGGCGGTTTGCTAGTCTTCAGGCTAGTCTTGATATCCCTGGGCCCTGCCTTCTAAGGTCCAGAGCATGCAATGAGTTACTTAGGAAAATTAACCTGTGTTAAACTGACAGCTGAAACGATATATACCTCCTAAGTAAACAAAGATTTAAAAAAATTAAATTGTACCATGTAAACTAATCCCCTTATGTGTAATTATAGTCAAGTAGTGGAAAGCACCTTTTGCCTATCGATGCTTACAGAATGTTTCCTTTACACTTAGCCTTAGCCTCTAAATAAGTACATATATTGCAATGCCCACATGTGAAGTTGACACACGCTAGCAGTCACTGTCCCACTGCAAACACCAGGAAGTGAAATGGAATATTGCCCCTTGTTGTTTCTGAATCAATTTATCCTAAATCCATCACCATTTTTGGCATTTGCTAACAAGGAAAATCTAAATGGTTTATTGGAGACCTCACAGTGAAACATCAGCAAAACTGATCCTCATTACAGAGAAGGATATTTCCTTAAACATCCTATGACTAAAACCCAAGTCAAAAGAGGAAAAGGTAATTAATAGGCAACCAAGCATGCAATGCCTGGAAACCACACACGGATTGGCTGTAAGCTGACATAATACACTCTGTGACCCAAAACCCTTGGAGAACCGAAACATTCAGGTGACATTGCCCTGCCAGGTCATGTCAGAAATACGTGAGAATGTTTTAGTAAGGTACCAAAAGCAAGCAGCACTTGGGAATGAAGACTTTAACCACACAAGTCTTTATTCAAGTCATAGGTCTAAGAAACCTTCAACAACTTGATTTAGACATAATTTCTATCTTTATTAGCAGGAGTGGTGACTTCCTTACCAGTTAGCTCTAAGCACAGTGCTTTGAAAATTATAAAAGCCAGTTCTCCACTTGGTGGGTGATTACAGGTCTGCCTGAAAGAACAGCATGAGATTACACCCATCGGAGATACAGGCATCCTCCTGTAGCAACCTGGCATTTCAGCATCAACTGTAAGATGGGGTCATTACCAGAAAATGCCAAGCTGACACGAGGAGTACCTGATCAAAGGAACATGCCTAGTGGCACTTCGTTATAAGAATCTATCTTTCTAAACACTGTGACTTATGAGTAAGGACACACCCTGCACGGGCACACACCTTACCCGCCTGTGGAAGGAGAGGGCAGCACAAACAGATGCAGAGCTACAGGGCTCCTTAGATGCTCACACTGTACAGTGCAGCCTCTTCCCTGCAGGTAGTATTGAGGTCGCTACATTAACATCCATCCAGGTTAAGGACTTACCTGCTAGAGACTATTTCACTATGTTATTTGTCACAAGCGTCTCACCTTCTATGCTGAACCACAACATGGTGTTTCTAGGAAGTGTATGTAAAGTTATAGAGTACAAGCCAAGGGAACAGGCCAGGAACACCTACGAAATTGCTGATCAGATTCACTTGAGAAGAAAGCCATGCAGAAAGGCACAAGGAGGTCCGCCCAGGATCAGAAGAGGGAGGGAGTCCCCTGCAGTGCCAAAGTATCTCAGTTAAGGCACTTACCGAAGTGCAGAATGTCTTCCAGAGCGGGACACACTGTTGCCCACAGGTGAGGGCAGGTTGTTCCCTCTGTGCAGGTCCTCGATGGACCTACTCCAGGGCTTTGATTTGTCCGCCGTATTCTCCACGGTACTTTCCACACTTTCAAAGTCAAAACTAAAACAAAAAAGGAATGCTACTCAAAACTTAGAAACTAACTTTCAGACACAGACGTGGACATACACACCCTGCTACTCCTTAAGTGTGTCTTCACCATGATACGAGAAGTCGTTACAGCCAAAGGAAATGCAAAACAATCTCTGTGGTCCCGGTGTTAGCTTGGAAAACATGAGGATTGCAAACACAGGGTCTGGCAAGAGAATCATTAATAACAAACAGCTAAAATTGGGTGGTTGTACATTGCTTGCATCTTACTTGCTGGCTTACCAATTACTACCACTGCTAAGGCTAGAAAGAGGAAAGAGATCTCACAGATGTCTTCATTTTGCTTTAACAATTCATTCCTACTCATCAATTCCTCGCTGGGCATTTTCTCCTAGTGTGTTAGCAAGTACTTTTCCAACCATATGTGATGCATTACTAGTGAGGCCATGCGTTTGCTTTGATTTTGGATTCTCTCCCCAATGCGGTGCTCTTTAAAGGAAGGCTGTTGTTCCTCTGACATTTTTTGAGGTTATTACTCATGTTAACCATGTTGGAATAAGTGGCAAGTTGAGTTGCTCATTCCCGTGTAGCCTTGGGAACCTAGTCTTTAAACAAGCAGGCCTTTGTGCCCCACGCATTTCCTTGCTCATGCAGTGAGCTACTCTGCTTTTTCATAAGAATACTGCCGTGTTTCTACCCGATCATACAGCAGAGCAAACAGACAGCAGCTACAGTTAATAGTCTCTGAAAGACTGTAAAAGATCTTGAAGAGAAAATAATGTATGCTGAAAATCATCTACAGATGCTTCTAAAGCATGACTGCCAGAAGGGGGAAGAAAGCCATCAGACTGGCCACCTAAAAACTAGGGGATATTCTCTAACTTTTCAGGTTAATCACATTGCAGGGACAGGCGCAGAGAGTCAGCACAGGGGGCTGAAGACAGACCTTTCTGTTGTGACCTTGGATGCAGGAGTAATGCTGAAGAGGAGAGAGACAGAATGGGGTAGTCTAAGAAAACCTGAGGTGCTAACATGGAAGCCTCTTACTGAGGTGGAAAGGACTTTGAAGGACATATGACGAGCATTCGCGGTATAGACATGTCACAAGTCACTCAGCAGAGCTCATGTCACACGTTCCTCTCATTCCTTCCCACCTGCACAGGACCAAAATGCAAGAAACACACACTTTAGCGAACTGGTAGGCACTGCTATTTCAGAGTCAGAACCTGCTGTGTCACATTCCATGGGCCGGAGAATTACTAATGCCAGGGTATATTAAAAAATTTCAAAATCAAAGGCAAATTATTTAACTTATCATCTACATAAAGCAAAATAAAACTAAACCCAATACACAAAGAACTTAAAGCTAATGCCCCCAAACACACTCAAAGGCTCAAGAACAGGTAACACACACTGACTCCAGGTGTTCAGCTGGTTATTGCCTTACACTATAGACTGCAGAATTCCTGCACAGTGTCACAGACTTGCCTTCACTGGTCTGACATGAGGGCATATTTGATAAATCTGGCTTCCAAGTCCTACTGTCAAGTAAGTAAAGGATTCGTTATCTATAGTAAACAATTATGATGTTGTTTCTTTTCCCTTTATTCCTGATTTTTCTTAGTCATCCTTAAATACTATAAATGTTTGTACAGATTTTAAAATTTGCAAGAGGGAATATTCTTTTTGTTATAATATATAATGCATCATGGGATTATCAGACTTAAAGTAGCAGAAATAGGTTAAGAAATATCCTTTTGATGGAATATGGCATGAACACTATGAATTATATTTCAGAAAACAATTTCTTATACTATATGAGAAACCATCATACCAGATTTGGTTAATAACCATGAATCTGTAGGATAAGAATAACTGTAGGTCTTCATAAGCATTGGGTGAAGGGGTGGAGATAAGAGAAACTACCCAACCAGACAGTCAAACTCTTTGGAGTGAGGAAATAATAAAAATAAGTAGTTACTGTTAAGAAAAAAAAAAAAAAGAACAGAAGGGTTGGGGAGAGCGCTCATTGTTTAAGAGCTCCTGATGTTCTTCGAGAGGACCTTACTTTCCTATACTCACAAAACAGCTCACAACTATCTGTAACTCCAATTCCAAAGGACTCAATGCCCTCTTCTGGAAAACAGATAGAACACGTATGTGTACACACACACACACACACACGCACACACGCACATGCACATGCACACACATATATAAAATCAAACTAAGTATGTCTGCCTTTAGAAAAAAACAGAGTGGAATGCATTCAGAAAGTGGAGGTAGGAAGATTACCACAAGTTTAAAGCTAGCCTTGTATACTTGTATATAGCCCCCACCTCTCCCTCTCCCTCTCTCTCTCTCTCTCTCTCTCTCTCTCTCTCTCTCTCTCTCTCTCTCTCTCTCTCTCTCTCTACACACACACACACAAAGGAGAAAAACAAACAGCACCTGAGTCGAAGCATCATCGCTGTCTAATTAAAAACACAGCATCATTCCTGCCTCACTCTGCACATGTGAGACTATCTGTGGGTTTTGGACTATTTCCTGATTAAAGGAGAAATGTTGAAAAGAGAATGTCTCATTCAAATGTACACTTTGCAGCCCTGTTATAAACCATTCCAGGAGTCATGAAAATGGAACTGTGTGGTATAATACAGCTAAGCAACTTAATTTTTCCCTGCCGTGCTACAGAACACCAAAGACTACAAATATATGGACAATTAAAAAAAAGGGAACAGGAGCCGGGCGATGGTGGCGCACGCCTTTAATCCCAGCACTCGGGAGGCAGAGGCAGGCGGATCTCTGTGAGTTCGAGGCCAGGCTGGACCGACAGCCTCCAAAAAAAATACAGAGAAACCCTGTCTCGTAAAACCAAAAAAAAAAAAAAAAAAAGGGAACAACAGTGTTCCTTCCTACTGGGCCACTATGTTGGCATCTAGAACTGCATCCTTATCTGTTCATTTCCAAAACAGACAAAAACACGCCTATATCATTTCCCCCGCAGTGCTGGGATAGAACTCATAGACTCACACAAGATAGGCAAATGCTTTACTATTGACCTACACCCCAGCTGTATCACAGGGTTGGGTGTGGGTCAGTGGTAGAATACAGGTTTACCTTGTGTAAGGGTCAGTCCCTGCTTCAATCCCCAGCTTATCAAAATTTAATAAAAAGTGAAAGGACATTCTAGTGTTCTACCATATAGACTCATGTAATTTAAGCCCTCAGGATAGTGATTCTTTCTCACTGTAGATACAGCTCAGCAGCAAGGCCAGGTCCTAAGTTTGACCCCTAGGATAGCTAGAAGGTCTTCAATGTGATTTTTTTTTGGGGGGGGGTTTCGAGACAGGGTTTCTCTGTGGCTTTGGAGGCTGTCCTGGAACTAGCTCTTGTAGACCAGGCTGGCCTCGAACTCACAGAGATCCGCCTGCCTCTGCCTCCCAAGTGCTGGGATTAAAGGCGTGCGCCACCAATGCCCAGCTCAATGTGATTTTTAATTGCCTGTTTAATTTTTGCCTTAAAGACACTTCTAATACCAATTATGTGATTTGCTTTTAGCTAAAAAAATTTTTTTAAATCAGACATAAATCTCTTTAAACTTTCCCCCTATCTGCTTATGGGTTTCTGCCTTTGGTGAAGTATGTGATTTTACCACTGGGCTACATCTTCTGGGACCATGTGAAACTGATGTGCAAACAAGTTAAGTTTTACTTACGTGACTGCATACTGTGCAAAGGATAGATACTCCACAAGAACATCGAGGCCTTTGTTTTCTTCATTCAAAAACTCTCTGACCCATCTGGGGAAGGAAAAAAAGAATTGTTGGTGACATTGATCATATGGTCTATGGACATATGGAAAGGACATGGTGGGTAGTTCTGGTTTTTACCTTGAGACATCCAAAGTCTGAAAGGAAATACAGAACATGACCTTGACTACTTTTACAGGAATTAGGCGCTTGTGGATGGGGTATGAAAACCATACGTTACTGTGTAAAAATAAGGAGTAAAAAGTACTTGTATGTCATCCTTGTGTTTGACTGTTTGAAGAGTCAGGATGACCGATTTCTAAAAGGTTTCTAAGAAAAGGAATTTGTGCTAATGTACTCTCAACCATAACGATCCCTAGCCTGGTTGCTGAAAGAGCCAAGACTAAAGAGTACGGCAGACTGGGGACATGGTGCCATAGCCACCGAGATGGAGGCATGACTTCAATTCCATGCTCAATCCCTCTTGGCACACCCAGTGAAGAAACCACTAAACCACCAACGAGAGGCCAATGCTTATGAGCCTCTGGAAATTCAATAGGGATAATGGCCTGCTTAATTTTTTCCACGAGTATGAAAGCCTTAAGAAGACTGCAGATTCCACAGAGCATCGGCAGGACTAGCACGTGACCAACAGTTTTAACCATCCCTTCTTAAGCCATCCTCCTTAGCTTGTATTTGAGTACTGTGTACCAGTTCACCAGGAACACTCACACAATGATTCCAATGGACAAAGCGACAAATCAGCATTTCAAGGCCTGAGGATAATAAAACCCTGTCACCTGATTTCACACATTTCTTCCCAATGCATTCCTTGTCAGAGACTTCGGGTATCAGAAGCACCTTCACTCAGTGAGAAGTTCCACCCACTGATGGGTACAAAGATCACTGCAATAACACAAGCATCATAGCCATACACTGCAGCTCAAAGTGGTTGTGTCCCTCTGTGTGAAAGGTTGCCTGCCAAAGGATGCAGCACGACCATTGGGGTAGCCATGCTTGCTAGCTATGAAGACAGCAGCAGAAAAATGGCCCATGTGTTGAAGAGGCTTGTGCTACAAGAAAAATCGAGTAGACTCCAAACCCCTTGTTTGTTTGCACGATAGTTTTGTTTTCTGTTTTTTTTTTAACTTTTTCTCCTGTCTCCTCTTTTCTGGCCCTTTCATCTTGATATACAGGTATACAGGAAGTATAAGGAGTCAGGAAGGTGAGAAATTGGACACCCTGACTTACAATCTTCTTCCAAGTACTTCAGACAGCCACCACCAAAGGCACACATTTAACCATAGCTGTGTGTAAACATTTAAGAGGAGCCTGGGGTGGCAAAGAAAATCCATCTGTTGGGTCTCACAGAGTGGCTTTGTTAGTAGATCTAAACACAGCTCACAGGATTGTGTACTGTTGGAGGCAGAACATTCCATAACAGTAGTAACACATAGGATATCACCACATCCACTTCTAGATACTTTATTTAACAACTCCCTGTGCAACAAAGTCTCCAGAGACAGTGAACTTTTGTTTTTCAAGAACAGGGTTTTCTCTTTGTATACCCGGCTATCCTGGAACTGACTCTATAGACCAGGCTGGTCTCCAACTCACAGAGATCCGCCTGCCGCTGTCTCCTGAGTATGTGATTAAAGGTGTACCCCACTGCCTGGCAACTGAAGACTCTTTAAATGATGATAGAAGCTTAAAAACAGGAGGGAAAAGGTTATTTCTTGTAAGTGGCAGAAGACTAGGAAATACCTAGCACTCCCTGTGAATGCCAGGGATGCTGCTACTAATGAGGATCCCGGCGTTTTGACTGCATGTGTGCCTTGTGTGAGGGTGTAGGATCCCCTGGAACTAGAGTTATAGACAGTTCTGAGCTGCCATGTGGATGCTGGGAACAGAACCCATGTACTCTGGAAGAGCAGGCAGTGCTCTTAACAGTTGAGTCATCTTTCCAATTGGTGTCTTTTTAACATGAAAAAGAACCACTAAATTCCAGGTTATTCAGGACTGGCTCAGTTTCGCATATTCATTGTTTGTTTACTTGTTTGTTTGTTTGTTTGTTTGATTGATTTTCAAAAAGGGGTAGTTCAGAAGGACAACTCTTCTGTACACACTTCCATAAGGAGCACAGACACCCCAAGACATCATGGTACCTCCATCTCATTTAGATAAGAAGGTCAGCCACAACTTGCACAGGTGGAAAACTGTCCCAGATATGAGGAACTTGAACTCAACGTAACAGGAAATAGCCAAGAACAGCAGTTCTATACATCCTTTGATTCGGCATGATAATGTGTGTAGTAGATTCTGATGCAGGAACAAGGTTTAATTTGTTTCTTTACTTCAACATTCCAATTGCCGTCTCACTTGCTAACTATAAGCAAAAGCCCCAGAAAGATTATTTCAAAGTGAGACAGGAACCCAATAATAGCATGACTTGCCTCTGGTTTAACGTCACAAAACAGATTCTGGTCCTAACGTTGCTGGATCCTCCTTGGTTGTTTGATGTCACCCCAATATGACTAAGTAACTTAGGAAAGACCTAGCATCAGGCATTCACCACCAATTACCTTGCCTCAGGTATCAATGATGGGCACGTAGTTAGGTCACACTGTAGTATGGGTATGACCTGTAAAGAGAATCAGCCTTCTCCCCCCCATCTGCATGGGTGAGAACAGTCCAGAGTGGTCATCCATGAACTGCCAAGAGTAAGGAAAAAAGATGGGTAGAGATGTTAAAGGGATGTCTCAAAACTTAGGGACGCAAAGGAGTATGGGGGCCAGAGACTTGGCTCAACAGGTAAGGACTCTGCCTCCAGGCCTGAACTCAATCCCTGGGACACACACAATAGAAGAAAGAAACACTTGCCTCCCACATGTTGCCTTCTAATCTCCATACATGCCCCATCCCCAATACACAGAAATAAATAGAAACAATGGGGGGGGAGGGGCACTCCGTGTTGTAAACGTATGTATTTGATCATACAGTGAGTCTGTCACATCTGTAAGGCTCGCTTCTCTCCGTGCATGCTCTACACTGTTTTATATGCCGCCAATAGGCAAACAGTTTCAAATTGGGTGATTATAAGTTTTTGAAAACAGAATTATTTCTGACTCTGACAGCATGTATTACTTTCTGAGGGCCTTGCAAATTCAAATGTGATTACCATATGTTATAAATTTGAATTTAGGCAAATTCCAAATCAGATGCTTGGAAGCTTGGAGAGACAGGGATAATGAGAAAAAGTTCTGGGGGGGGGGATCGGGAGAGACTGCAGCCAAAGAAGTAAAGTGCGAATGCAAACAAATCAGTACTGAAATGCAGGCTGCTCACCATGTGGTTTCAAAGTTTTGTTCTCCTCGCCTCCCAAAATCTTACAGCCAAATTTCTTCACACAGAAAATAAAGTCCTGAAAACCCTCCCGGTGTACAACTGCCGAGGTCAAGCAAAATGGCAAGGGCACAAAAGAAAGGACAAGTGTTACCCCTTTGCCAGGCTCCTGTAGAGAGAGTCCCACAGTCGGGTGGGTAGCTGGAATGAAAGGTGCTGAAAATCAGGAACAAGAGAGAGGTCAACATTACCCAGAGTCAAGCCCACTCCTGAACTGCAGCAACCCAGCTCACAACAACTCGTAGTACTGCATCACCGCTAGGAGTCCTTGAAGGTCTCTCAGCTTATCTCTAGGCTTGATCTATTTTCCTAAACGTGTTAGGACTTGATACATGCAAAGCCTTGGGCTAAAACTGCCAGCATCTAAGCAAAACAAAACAAACAAGCATCCTTTGCTGACCCTGACATGCTTCACTGTGAAAGAGAGAGGGTAAAACTGCTGAGAACAAAACATGGATCTGCTTATCACATCCTTCACTCTATGCAATGATACAGGGACAAAAGCATCCCCACTGGAGGACATCAGTAAATTTACTAAAGCTCCATGCTCAAGTACACAACTTTCTCAGTCCCTCTGGGACAAATCAGAAGCCACATAAAACACATCTGCTGCACCTGGGCTGTCTTGAGAGGGTCAAGAAAGGAGCCATTGTTTTTTAAATGGACTGCCAATTCACTTGTAAAAATGACTTAAAAACTATGATGACAATATTTTGGGTATTTGAAAGACATTTCCTCAAAAATGCATGAGGTTAGCCCATTGATTTGGAGAAAACAGGCAGTCATTTGTCACTAATGATAAATTTTCTGTTTAAATAAAAATTATGAATTTAGGAAACGTTATATTAGTTTGATAGCTTTATGATCATTAAAACTGTATCCTGAAGGCATCAGTGATTATTAACAAAGTGATTTCTTAAAAAAAATAACTATAGAATGGCATGTTAGAAAGGGCAGAGCAACGCTGGAAAGACTAGATCGTGTCAGTGTGCTGACTTTCCAAACAGTCAGTTCAGCAATCATGCTACAGGATCTATGGGTAAAAACATCCACTCAGAGCATGAGACAGCACAGTGGATTTTAACAGAATACAGTCTGCTATTAGCACTTCTGGACATTTCCACTCAGAGAATTTTATGTATATCAGAAGAATCTCCACAATTATCTGAAAAAGCCACTTAAAAACTCAAATTTTCCAAATGTTCTTCATTTACACAAAACAAAAGTAAATATCAAAATGAGCTAAATGCAGTGTCAGGAAAATCCAGCTGCCTTCTATTACAAAGATACCAAAGAGGGGTCTCGAGAATTTTTATGAGGAAATAAATTAAGCTATTCTTTACAGGGAATTTTTGTTGTTTTGTTAAATAGTCACAGTTCATGAAATGTTATATGCACTAATATTCACAGCTGTGTTTATGTTTATATTGTTTATATATTGAAAGTTTGCTACTAAATATTACCTATTAAATAAACTTAAAGTTTGTCAAGTTTAGTTTCTAATGCAGTAAAAGTTGCTAGGTTCAATTCATATTAGCAACAACAATTACTGAAGTTCAAAACACTTAGCTTGAATAAAGGAGTCCAGAATGTCAAAAAAAAAAAAGTGTGGGAACTATTCTAAGGACAAATAAGCTTTAGATGTAGACAAATCAGCACTTCTAACTGGCATGGAGTAGAATAAAATAATTAGCAGCTGACCTGGGATCTTCCCACATACATAACAGTGGCCCAGAGCAACAACACAAACATTTTTCTGTGAGATAATGCAATCAGTGTGCCCAACAAATGTCAAAATGGCCATGACTCTGACGATTCCCAAAGCAGCACCACTCAAGAGTGAAATGATCACAGGATGGACACAGGCACACACGCACAATTTGCACACGTCTTAGGAGGGCGCTGGCCACTCTCTTTCTTCTTTGACTGGGTCCAGCTCCAGCCATCACTGGCCCACCAAAAGCCTGACAGTCAGCAGAAAAGATCTTCACTGAGAAGTTCCTCGGTGCCTTCTCTTTTCTTACACACGCCCCCGACCCCTGGCCAATCTGCTGCATTCTTCATGCCTTATTGTCTTAACCACCCACAAGTGAAGTAACATCTTTTAGAACGTCTGTGACCTTGCATTCAGACTGAAAAGTAACTTTCCATCATTATAGGCAATGATATTAAGATAAACCACCTACACCACAGTCCCTTGGAATAAAGCTAGCACACCCTCACCATCACAGCAGTTGTCCAGACATCTGAGGCACCTTGGCGTCAGCCCACTCCTATTGCTTGCCAGTGTGTTGTAATGATGCTTGGTTCTTTTTCAAGAGCATTTCAAGTAATTTCAGGGGTTTGGATAAGTCATAATCCAATTCTTCTCCAATGCTATAGCTCCTAACAGTAAGTGAATGGGATTATTCCTAGCCAAAGTCTTATTTCAACACAGCTCAAAAAAATTAATTTTCTTTCTAGAAAGATCGCTCCATTTATGGAGTTTCAGGTTTAGCTCAAAACTCAGAACAAACCCTTCACAACAAGGCAGCAGCTTAGATTGTTACCTCAGCAAAGCCCACTTGCTACTTTAACTTTGAAACCCAAGCATGTGCCAAGAATAACCTTTTTAGGACAAATGGATTTTAAGTGTAATTTAAACTTTTAATTTCTGGAAATCATAATCTCCTAAATGCTCAGGTCATTTTAGGTAGACCAAAATCACATTGTACACCTGGAATTCCTTAGGAACATGTTACATACTATTGTTGATTTGTAGACATTCTCCTCAGCAAGCTTAAGAAAATAAAATATAAAAAATAAAATAACTGTTATATATTGAGTATTGGGCATCCGATCCTATAGTAGGCACTTCATTCCTATGAGCAAATTACTGCTACTCTCATTTAACAGGTGAGATTTTAATCTAAGTCACATAGTAAGTGCAGAGAGCTTGTGTAATTTCAGCTTATCAAAGGTCAAATTAATAAAAAGTGGTCACAGCAAAGGCCTGTGTCAAGATCTCTTCATCAGAGGAACAGGTGCCTAATTATCTTTCTAGTACCCAGAGTACAAAAAAAAAAAAAGCAACCTGTCCATCATAGCACATAAAAATTCCTCATGGTAGTACTTGAAGAGTTCATTCGTTAATAATTCCAGAACTTGTTCCTCTCAAATGAGGTCAAGACAGTAAACTGGCAGAACGAAAAGACTGGTTCTGACTTGAGTCTTCAAGATAGGCAAGAGAAGTCAAAATCCTGGTGTGTAGTTTCGTTCAATGTCAATTATTTGCATACAGACAATGCACCCCCTGGAATTCTTCAGCAGCCTTAGCCACTTTTGCAAGGATCTCACATAAATACTGGGCAAGTGGGAAAAATCTTAGCTGATGAAGACAAAAGGAGGAAGCATCTTTCAGCATCCCTACAGTTACATCAGCAACAAATGACTCCAGCTGCCTGCAGACTGCACAGGCTCATCTATTCCTCCTACTTTGTATTAGAAAGAACTTCCTACTTTAGGACTTGATGGGCAAGTTCACATTATCTCAGCAATGCTTGAAGATATGCTTTTCAATAATTTGTAGAAATCCTGGCTGTAAATTTTTCTACCATTGTCAGTTGAGAATTGCCAAGGTGTAGAGTTGGGGCATCATCACATAGACTCTAGTTCCTGGTTCATAAATAACAGGAGCTATTTAATATCCTAAGTTCAGGTGCCCCACTGTATTAAACAACAATCACAACCACCTTCATCTAGAGACAGACAAGCCTCACTGCTTTGACCCCAGAGCCCCAACTGCCTTAATTCTTTCAGAAAGGGCTGCTAAGAAAAGCAGTGAACTAAAAGACCAAAGTGTTTTTGAGTCAAAGCACAGGTTTTAAAACTGTTTTCATAACTATCTCTGATGCTTAATATTTTGAGTCTTGAAAATGAGATTAGACAATTTCCCCAGTTACAAAATCATGATTTCATGATTTGTTTTGCTATCGTCCATTTTTTGGAGACAAAGCCAAGAATCCATTAGTTTGATAAAGACTCCATTTTCAAGGTGACAAGCATGACAAGGTAGCCTTTAAGAAATGGGCCTTCTACCTTAAAGTCTTCCAACTAGACCCTGCACTATCATTTCCATACTTAAATAAAAATCTGAAGTAACCGTACTAATTGAACATCTAATTAGCTTATATCAATCAGTCTAAACAGAAGTAAATTGCTATGTATACCATACATATATTTTTACAGAATACTCAATACAACTACAGTATAATATACATATATATAATTCCAGTTTAACAGACCAGCAAAAAAAAAAAAAAGCCAGAGGAGAACATTTGAAAAGATATTAAGGATATTAAGGTCTATAGTCTTCAGTCTTCTCTCTCTCATGGTAAACCCACAAAGTCAAAATCCAGAATATGTAAAAAACTTACCTAACATTTTACTATACTTTACTATACTTTGTTCATGTCTGTATTCCTAGCACTTGAGAGGCTAACACAGGAGGATTGCTTTGAGTCCAAAGCCAGCCTGGCTACATAGTGAGTTCAAGGCAAAGCTGGTTTGAAAAAAAAAAAAAAAAAAACTTGTCTACAAAGCAAAACTGGTACTTTCTGAAGAACCAAGAGTGCAAAGTACAGTATTCACTATCATCCGGACTTGACGATAAACTCCCTGACAATCAGGTACCATGTATTATGCCATCCCAAGGAAAAGGGGAGAATGTAAAAGAGCTGTACTTGTCTGAGGCAAAGAAACCACACTGATACAAGAAAAGAACTCTCAGAAATGTTTAGTGCACTGATTCCGTGACCTTCATTTTCCCTAGGTGGAATACTTTCATGGTCTCAAGTGTTTACCATGTAAAAAAGAGACTCAAAACATGCCTCAATTGCAAAGACAACACCACTCCAGTTTCCATTCATTACTGAATGGAGAGAAATTAAGGAAAGGCAAAGCAGCTTCAACTAAGCAACCTGAAGGCTGAGTTCAAGGATCTCAGTTTACACAATTCTTAAAAGTTAATCAGTTGTCAGAGCACTGTCTCACTATCTGTTCTGATTCTATTGATTCTTACAATCAATCAGTGATCAGGGGACTAATTCCCTTCATCGAAACCTTGGTCTTTTAGTAAACACAGAAGCTCAATTCTTAGGTACGATTCAATCACTTTCTAAAATGAAATGCTAGTGCTAACATGTTACAGGGGCATACTTACCCAATATGGTTGGTTCTCAACGAGATTTCCAGTTCTCTTAGCACTTGCGTAGATTCTTGAACACGCCTTCTGAATTTCTATAATTCAACAAAATATGATCCTTAGTACCTGTTGCTCCTACAGCTTATGATAAATTTAATGCCATATGAAAATAACTTTTCTTATAAAGTATATTTCTCACATTTCTTTTTGTTTTATTCAAAAGCACACGAATCTTGATCATTTTAAAAAAATAACTTTCAAGAAAGGACCAGGAGAATTACTTATTTTCTGTAAGCTCCTAGAGCAGACTATGTTCCCTAACCCACATATACAATAATAACCACCATTATGTCTCTTGTTCAGGAACCCCAAACCATCTCCAGCTTCAATGATTTACTAGAAACACTACAGACTCAAGACAAATTCATACTTATGGCAATGATATATTGCAATGTAAAAGGAAATGGTAAAACCAACAAAAAGAAGATGATGTGAGTGACAGGAAAACAGACACATGCTTTCAAGAGTGCTCCTGCCCAAGGAGTCCCTTATGATAGCAGACGTGAAGCTCAACAGAGACTGGGGGCTGGGGCTTTCATTAGGAGCTGATCTCATTACCACTCTGCTCACTTAGGCAGCAATCCTGGACTCTAGCAATAAAGCAGGTCTGCAGCATAAACTATGTTGTTTTCATAAACAATTCGGGCACAATTATCTTTTACAAAGAACACAAATGAACGCTGATGGCCAACTTTGTAAGCAGGTCCTTCTGAAGACAGCAGTCCTGAGACCAACAGTCCTGAGTTGATTTTTCTCAGCCTGACCTAATATGCTCCAAAACCAAACATTCAGAGTTAGCTCTTCCAACAAGTCCTCCCTTAGAAGGTCGGTAAGGAAGGTTCAAGAGCATGTGCCACATTTGGGATGTCCTTCTTCTCTCTTGTCCATCAAGATACTATCTGTCTTTCTAAATTTACCCTGTACTTTCTTTAATGAGTCCTGGTGTGTGTGTGTGTGTGTGTGTGTGTGTGTGTGTGTGTGTGTGTGTGTGTGTGTGTGTGTGTGTGTGCGCGCGCTTTTAAATCTAAGGAGTCTCCAAGATTCAAATGGGCTGCCGTGCCCATCTGTGAAGATTAATTATTTACCTAACCAAACTTTTATAGTGACTAAAGTCTCAGGCCACTTTTAACAAAGGAAATTCAATGTGCAATGTCTTCTTTTAAAAGGTCCACACTATCTGTGCTGTGGCCTGATTCCCCTCAAGCTTTTTTGCTCCCTGGAGAAAGTTTTGTGAATTCCAGCTCAGGATATGAAGGACCCTTGTCCTCTGCTGCCACCAAGTGCAGTAAGAATAGAGGCCTCCATTTCCAGGCCACTGAGCATGGCTCGCATTCTTTAGAGGAACAACATCCAGAGGCAAGAAGGAAAAGGCTGGTAGCATGACTCCAGACTGTGGAGTTGTGAGAGGCATGTCACATGCTTGAGAGCCTGGAGCCCAAAGGAGACCAGCAACACTGCTTGGCACAGGCAGGCTCCTGTTCCCCTTTCTCCTCAAACTCTCTTGCTTTTTTGAAGTTGCTATAACTGTTATCCCAAACACCATGAAAATATCATCTTAGGTTTTTGTAGTCAATATAAAGTGGGATATAGGAAATAAAAATATCCTAAATATAAGGAAAATAAGAAAGGCATTCTGTTTCTACTGCCAAGGAAGGCCTAACAAATGGCAAGACCATTGACGGTTTGAAGAGATATGCTAGACCACCTCCCTGCAATGAGTATACTAAGCACGGGATTTGGTGGCAAAGAGGAAGTAGGGTGGGGGGGGCTGGCTAAAGGTACCACCCTCCAAGCTGCTTGTTAAGACATGTCAGATAGGTTCTCAGGAATCTTGAAATCTTCCTCAAGCTTCAAAGAAGTCATCCCCCTAATGATGAACAAAGAGCACAAACATACTACTAAAAGCAGAATACAGTCATAGAGATGTCTGACCAAAGGCTGTGAGGAGAGGGGAGGGAGAGAAAGACAAGTGGATAGATATGGATGCTGTATACACTCAGACAGACAGACAGACAGACAGACAGACAGCCTGACAAGGCAACCAAGTCAATCACTGAGCTAGAGCAGCAGCAGCCAGACTCATCAGACACCGGCTACACTGGGCACTGTAATTCTGCAACTGTCTGACAAACTAAACTCACTTCACACCCATGTTGCATTCTCAGGGAGCAGCTCAATTTTTGATTGAATTTTGGAAGGCAGGGAAGCCTTTTCGTTCTCTTTGCTAACACATAAACAATGAAAGCCAACACTCTGCTCGTCTGAAATGCATCTACAAGACTTCAAGAAACCTTGAACCTATAGGGCCCAGCAGGAAAGCAAGAGCCAGGAATCACTCTCTCTCGTATCTCATCTCTCTCCTCTCAGGTACAGGACAGCCAGGACAATCCAGGGAGGCAGCTGAGCCTAGGTGAGCCACACAACAGGTTTCTCCTTACAAATGTAGAGTCAGCAGAAGATCGGACTCCTTTCTTCATGGTCTGTAACCTCTTTCCATGGCAGAAATGAGCGCACACTCCCCACCTCCAGCTCATAACAGCCGTATAAAATGAGGAGGCTGGTTTGCGGAGTGCTGGGCTCAGAGCATCTCACTGAGGCTCCCCTGCCCCCAGGGGGTTTCATTTAAAGCTATTCTAAACAGAATGTGCTTAGGTTGTTTAAAAGGGGTGAATTAAGTATCTTCTATTTAATTTGAACAAAAGATTAATGAATGAACTATTCGAGGACCCTGACCACAGTCAAAGGACACCCGCTCAGCCTAGACAGTATGGCTAAAATTTAAAGGCCCGGTTGGAATACTCCAACCCTGGAACACAGCTGAGAATTTTAAGCTCATTTTAACTGAAAGCCATGCCTTATTCCAAACAAATCTCCTTTTTTTTTTTTTTTTCTGGAGCTTAAGCATTGTAATTATGCTGTACGGAGCAGATCTTTTCCTACTCCTGGCTCCTGGCAGAGATCTTACTACAGCAGGGGGTTGGGTGCCAATCCAACATCCAGTTCATTTCCCCAGAGCTGAATGGCAGACCTTGAAAGCCAAGGCACAGACAGAACGAGGACATTCAGGTAGACACATGGCTCAGGATAGAGAAATCAGTGGTCCAGACGACCACCAACAGGCCATTCCTCTTTACTAAGTGATCCTGGAAGGAGTGAAATGTTTAACAAGAGGATTCCTAGTTTCTTCTGCTTAGTTTTCTTTGTCGCCTGAAGGTGTAGGGTTGGGAGGCCACACAGCCATTTCTGCAAGTGTACCACATGCTTTCTTTGCAGAATGAGGGATTGTTTCAAGAATAAAGTGTATGTTACATGAGGAGACAGTTCACTGTCATTCCAGGCCCACTAGCTCAGGACAAGTCTGCCTATGCCAGTGGAACCCAAACCATCATCTCAGGTCTGGGGCTTTCTAAAGAACAAGGAGAACTCTTTGGTATAGACTGAATGTCCTTGCAGAAACAAATGGTATAGTCAAAACTGTTTTTGAAAAAAAATGAGATTCATATTTTTGTGTGTGAGGTGTTTGCTGTCACGTCATTCCTTAACCTATAAAATTAAGGCTGCTTGGGTCAAAAAATAAATAATAGAAGCCGGGCGGTGGTGGCGCACGCCTTTAATCCCAGCACTCGGGAAGCAGAGGCAGGCGGATTTCTGTGAGTTCGAGGCCAGGCTGGACCGACAGCCTCCAAAACAATACAGAGAAACCCTGTCTCGTAAAACCAAAAATAATAATAATAATAGAAACTAACAAGAATTAAGCAGCTATTACTTTTTGAAGGGTAGGGGTTGAGTGCTGACATTTTTCAAATTCTGAGGGGGAGAAATATTACCAGAGACATTCATAGAAGGTGAGGGAAACCACGGGACATCCAAGAATTGTATGGCATGAAACCAAAGTGTGGTTCTTCATTTTCTTTTTAAAAACATTATTTATTTTATGCACGTGAAGGTTTTGAATACTTGAAAGCATGCACACCATGTGCATTCCTGGTGTCCCTGGTAAGAAGAGGTGCTGGGTGTCCTAGAACTAGAGTTACGATGAATGAGTCACCATGTGTGTGCAGAGAACTGAACCCAGATCCTCTAAAAGAGCAACAAGTATCTGAACCGCTGAGTCGTCTCTCTAGCGTCAGGATCTCCAAGTTCAATCATCATTTCCATTGTTTAAAACCCTCTTGTCCATAAATAAACCAGACAATAAAGACTCAGGAAACTTCCAGAGGAAACAGGAGCTACACTTTTTTTTTCTTTGCAGGACATTTCTTTTGGGGGGAGGCAATATGGGCAATAAAGAATTAGAATGGAAAAATGAAGAAAAGGGAGAAAAGTTAGAGGAGGGCAGAGGAGAGAGAGAGAGAGAGAGAGAGAGAGAGAGAGAGAGAGAGAGAGAGAGAGAGAGAGAGAGAGAGAGAGAGAGAGAGAGAGAGAGAGAGAGAGAGAAGGAAAGAGAAGCGTGAACCAAGATTACTGCAAACAGCTAATCAGGAGAAGTGTGCTTTTCTTCTCTCACGAGTCACCACTGACACACACAGGGAATTCAGCTTGAGAAGCCTTGAAAGGGACAGTTGTAGAAGGTCAAGGGAAGACAAGTGCTATCTGGTACAAAGCGTCTTTACCCACAGTCATCAAGGACAGCTGTGCCCTGAGCCATCCAGGGCTGACCCAGCCTGCGGAGCTGTGCCAGGCGGCATGCTTAACCACAGGCATCAGCTTAGGCCAATTGTGCAGCTGCACAAAGCAGGGCTTATTTGTAAAGGGAGAGGTGGTTAACAATGAAATCAGCTATTCCCTCTTTACCTTCTTGCGTCAGGAGCTGGGCTGGGGACTGGGGCTGGTGATGGAGCTAGTGATGGGGCTGGGGGCTGGTGCTGGGGCTGGTGATGGGGCTAGTGATAGGGCTGGGGGCTGGTGATGGGGCTGGGGGCTGGTGATGGGGCTGGGGGCTGGTGATGGAGCTGGTGATGGGGCTGGTGATAGGGCTGGGGGCTGGTGATAGGGCTGGGGGCTGGTGATGGGGCTGGGGGCTGGTGATAGGGCTGGGGGCTGGTGATGGGGCTGGTGATGGGGCTAGTGATAGGGCTGGGGGCTGGTGACTGGGGCTGGTGATGGGGCTAGTGATAGGGCTGGGGCTGGTGATGGAGCTGGGGGCTGGTGATGGGGCTGGTGAGGGAGCTGGTGATGGAGCTAGTGATGGGGCTGGCTATGGGGCTGGCTATGGGGCTGGCTATGGGGCTGGCTATGGGGCTGGGGCTGGGGCTTGGGCTGGGCTTGGGTCAGGGGCTGAGGAAGCTGTTTGAAACACCAACACAGCATGTCAGTAAGCAGCTGGGGAAGATAGCCCCAGTGATTTTCAGGGTTCTAGAAGTGACCAAGTCATGAAGGACAAGCATTGCATTTGCAAGGCCTGCTTTGTTACAGGCTTAAGGTCTCGATTCACTGCTCTGAGCAATAGGAACTGACAGTATCAGAGGGGCATGTTGAAGACTTTCTCCCCTTGTCCTCTCATGTTGGTGGCTGTCAAAAAGATTATTTGCCTGGAGCTTTGGCAAAAACTAACACAAAAGAATGTATAATGCAGGACTCAGCCCACTAGAGTGGAAACATATCCACCTTACCTTCCTGGTTACAGCTGGATCCAGGTAGCCTTTGAGCTTCTGAATGTATGTATGGGGAGGATTCTTCACCTGGAATCGTTCCTGCAGGAAACACAAAGCTAAGTAAACAGCAGAAACAATATGAAGGAATACCACTGCGGGCCACATTAACCACATTAATGTCATTACTCATGACCAAACACACCCCTAGTGTGAATGTGACTTTGCTAATAACTATCATGGGCTGATTATGTTCTGTCTTCATAGATCATGTGATCTCTTTGCACAGGAGGAAGCCATGGCTGGAATAAAAAATGCAGTATTCTCTTTGATAGCATAGCTAGTGAGTGATACGGTGAACCTGAATCCATGCTTCCCAAACCCAGAGTATGGCTGTTCTCCCTGCAGGATGTGCAGCTGTCACTAAAAGGACTATGCTTTGTCCCTTGCTTTTCAGACTTTCTGTGAATGTCTAGTGAATTCTTTGAGATATCTTCGATGTTGGCAAGTCTTTCACTTTGGAATATGTCACCTTTAAAAACAGACACATTTGAGTCAAGATTGAATAAAAATAATTTCTTTTGAAAATGAGTAATTAGTTAGTTACTGAAAGGTAGATGGAATGTGGGAATATTTATGAGAGTATGTAAACATGCATCCATGTTATCATAGCTAGGTTCCTAAAGTGACCTCCAAATTGAAGATCCCAAACTACACACACACACACCCGCATGCACGCATGCACGCACACCTCAAAATGATCAAAGCTAAAGTCAAAGACTGAAGGAGGAAACATTCAAAATCAGTAAGGGAAAGTCTGAGCGGGCTATGTGCACCTGAGCAGCTGATCATATGTTATGTTTTGCTTGTTTGAAAACCTGAAGCGGTGGGTGGTAGTGACGCACGCCTTTAATCCCAGCACTGAGGAGGCAGAGACAGGCAGATCTCAGTGTGTTCAGGGCCAACTTGGTCTACAGAGTGAGTTCCAGGACAGCCAGAGCTTGTCTCAAAAAAGAAAAGAAACAAAGTTTAAATGCATCAGTTCTAAAAGGAAGGTTCCTATTGCGTGTGTTCTTTCCTATTCAACAGCCCAAAAGATGTATTCCTGGTAATTAGTTTTAATCTTCTTTCTGCTTCTTTTTTTTTTTTTTTTTTTTTTTTTTTGGTTTTTCGAGACAGGGTTTCTCTGCATTGTTTTGGAGGCTGTCCTGGAACTCACTTTGTAGACCAGGCTGGCCTCGAACTCACAGAGATCCGCCTGCCTCTGCCTCCCGAGTGCTGGGATTAAAGGCGTGCGCCACCAACGCCCGGCTCTTTCTGCTTCTTCTACAAGAGAATGTTCTAATAACCAAGCAGCAGCAACAGTTGTTTGCTTTATAGAAATGTGTATTTCTGCCAAGAGTAGTGATGCATGCCTTTAATCCCAGTACTCCAGAAGCAGAAACAGGTAGGTCCCTGAGTTAAGAGGCCAGCGAGGGTGAGGGAGGGAGGGAGGGAGGGAGGGAGGGAGGGAGGGAGGGAGGGAGGGAGGGAGGGAGGGAGGGACGGAGGGAGGGAGGGAGGGAGGGAGGGACGGAGGGACGGAGGGAGGGAGGGAGGGACGGAGGGAGGGAGGGACGGAGGGAGGGAGGGAAGGGAGGGAGGGACGGAGGGAGGGAGGGACGGAGGGAGGGAGGGACGGGAGGGATGGAGGAAGGGGAGGGGAGGGAGGGAGGGACGGAAGGAGGGAGGGAGGGAGGGAGGGAGGGACGGAGGGAGGGACGGAGGGAAGGATGGAGGGAGGGACAGAGGGAGGGACGGAGGGAGGGAGGGAGGGACGGAGGGAGGGAGGGAGATTTGTATTTTTCCAGCATAGAACCACTAAATTCTTCATAATCCACTCAAATTCTGCTTAGTTACACTTTTTTTTTCTTTTTTAATTTTTCAAGTAAGGGTTTCTCTGGGTAGCTTTGTAGACCAGTCTGGCCTCAAACTCACAGAGATCTGCCAGCCTCTGCCTCCCATGTGCTGGGATAAAAGGCGTGCACCAGCACTGCCCCACTGGTTACAGACTTAAAAATGTTGAACAATTACTCTTATCACCTATCTATCCAGTGAAAATACTATATTGTACTGATGAAAATAAAGAAAGCAACTGACTGTTAGGAACCAGCACCAAATGACACAACTTCAACACAGTCCCTATTCCTTACACTCAGGGCGGAAGCATGAAGGCTGATGGGATTGTAAGAGCCAGGGGGCCAGAAGTTTGCTAGGAGATTGTGTTCTCTAGATACGACAGGGAAGCCATACCCAAGAAATCTCAATAACATAGTTGCCTAACTACAACTGAACAATGACAACACCAGTAGATATGCCAATGGGGAAGGGGTATATTTCACAGGACTCCACCCATAGATGAAGAGCTACAGGCAGCTGCTAAGAGAGAAAACAAGTCTTCCCCAGAGATAAGCTTCCTGATTGGTTATACCATACCAAATGGCTAGCCCTGAAAACCTATATATGAACAACACGAATAGGACTCAGCAAGTGCACCTATTCATTAACCAAATATTGAATATTAATATATATTTCATTATGCCTAATGAGATAAATATAGTGTATTCTATATAATGATATAATATAGTGAATAACATAGTATAATATAATTACTTATAAAATAATTGGTTATCTTATAACAACTACAAAAATTGTCAATCATTTTTAAAGGGCCATGAATTTGAAAGGGAGCAGTGGACATGGGTGAGATTAAAGTGAGAAGAGGGGGGAAATGATATAATTGTATATTAATTAGAAATAATTTTAAGGGGCTGGGGATATAGCTCAGTGATAGAGTGCTTGCAAAAGACCCTGGGTTTGGTCCTCAGCTCTGGGGAGGAAAAAGACAATAAATAAAATTTAAAAGAAAACACCACATTGTTTAACATTTAATAGTAGGGTAAAGCGGCTTGTAGTGAAACACTTGATTAATATTTCCTCTCCATTCAAAAATGATCAGGTAACTATTAGCACATATAAATTGTGAGTCTATAGAGCTGAAGAAGAGATCAGTACACTGTTGTTAATTATTACTTATCCCTCAGGTAGAGATTAGAAACTTCTCACTGGTATAGGAAATATTCTTTATTCTAGTCGGGGAACATAATCACTTTGTTTCTCAAGGGTTAACCTATCTGCAAATGACACTTTATTGTTTAGATGGATTAGCTCATTCAAGACTGGTAGGTAGTTAGAATTAAGTATTATATAGATAAGAGAATGGAAAATGAGTGATTGGATGGCCTCCTTAGTACCATCTAGAATGATATGTATTGTATCATTTAGAATGATATGTTGCATACATATGGTACACACATTACATTATATGAGAGATTCATGTATTACATGAAAGACTCAGGTTCAAGTTTCTAACTCTCTGCCTCTTGTTCTTTCTTCTATAATACATATGTTTATCTTGAATTTCATAGAATTTTTTTTCAAGTGAAACATGTTATAGATGTGAAGGTAATCTTAGCTTCTTACAAATCTGAGGCAGGAGGATTGTGAATTCCAGTCCTGCTTGGGTGGGCAGTGTAGTAAGACCCCATCTCAACAAAAAACAAAAACTAGAGCAGAAACCTGTTCTATCTTCATTTAGTGTCACTAAATAGAATGGTATTCATTCAAAGAATTGAGTGTCTTTTGGACCTCAGCTATGTCATGTGTCCCATAACTCAAGGTCAAGTGTGTTTTGTTTTTAGAGACAGGGTCTGCAGTCTCCCACACACGGGAAGTACAGGCATTTGGCACCATGCTCAGCTAAAGATGAGCTTGTAAAAGTCTAAAAGCACCAAGCAACAACAAACACTCTGCACCAGGCATGGGTACAGCAGGCTTGCTGTACAGTGTAAACTGGTCCAACCCACATCAGCACTAAGGGCACCTGCCGCTCACCCTATGCTATGTCCCTCTTGAGTCCAAGGCTGTCTACTGTCTTCATAATTACATTTCTCATCAGCTGCCCCACCCCCAAAGGTGAGTCTGCCTAGGCACAGACCTGCTCTGCAGATAAGAGAAAGGTGAAAGAATTTACTAGACTCCACTTAGCTGCTAGGGATCAAGTTCACTGCCATCAGACCAAGAAAAGCAAGGTCATTCCTGAAGGAACTAAATGATGGAGGCCACTTGGAGCCCAGCTAAGCTGAAGACTTTGTATGGAACACTCAGAAAGTCAGAGTTAGTTTTTTTCCTTGGGCCCCACCATCACCTTGAACATGTAAATATAATGAAGTTGCTCATTGAAGCCTTTCCAGTGTAAAAGGTTAGAATCAGGCACCCCACTCATTTGGAAAACTATTTGCAAACTTTATACCCTCTCTGTCTTTGTGGATCATTACATGGGAAATCAGTTAAGGTTAATCTTGCATGAACTGGATTTGTAACAAACATGTTTCAATCAGTTCTACTCTGTAAGCAATATTTGGATAAGAGATCCCAAATTAAACAGAATTCCATTCAGATTTGTATTATACCTTACTATTCTGAGACCTAATGATATTTTAGTAAGACATCTGAACATTTGCCAAGAAATCAATGTCTGTTGAGCTACACACTGACTGCTGGCTGAGTCTTTCTCCCTATTCCGCCCTGTTTCGTGAGTGTAATAAAGCTACACACTGCATCAAGAGCCCTAGCAAATTAATGTCAGCACTCTGCTATTCTAATGTTCTTATTATACCAATTCCACAATAATTCACACAAGTGAAAACCCAGGAAGAACATTCTTTTTGTTACATAAGCTTACTACACAAATATTCTATTCCTCTTCCCCTTGAAACTGGAATTAGTTTGGGTTTGATGTCATTTCCAAAGGCTAAGCAAGCAAACTGTAGTCTCTACTAAGCCACAGCTACAACCAGTAAAACTGTCACTAGTGAGTTCTAATCTGTAAATTAGTTCTAATCTAATCTGCTTGGTACTAAGTAATGGACATCGAGAGGAATGCTCCATGTCTCCTAGGGTATCAGGTCATTCTCTCAAATGGGAAATTCTGACGTTAGCAAACACAGAAAAGACAAGAAGAACATATTGCAGTAGTATATGCAGACAGATATGACGGACTA